TGAAATGAAGTTCCTGATTAAAGAAGCATAAATGAAAATTTAAAAAACAGAATATAACCTTGAGCAATATGCCTCTCTAGCAAAGGACACCAATAATGCAATCCTTATGTTTTCCACTTGTACATTGTCTGAGCCCAGCAGCTACAGGGAGGGGATTTGAAGCTCTGAGAACCCCGAATCATAAGATCCACATTCCTCCTGTTTGTGCCTCAATTCTAGCATAGTTAGTATCCCAGTCTCCGATAAAACTTTGGTGGATATTTAATCCTAACATCTCAGCAGATAACTTTGTTTCTCTTACTATCACCCAAATGTCTGTGGATTCAGATTTAGAAGCCATTCTTCCTTTCTTTTGTGAAAAGAAGCCTTGAATTTAAATGTCCTAGGGGAGCATTTCTAGCTCCCTGAAACATCCTCCTCTGAGGCTCACACCCTGACCTCTCTTCTTGACCTTTCATCATGATCTGGTTTCTACCTTCTGTCCAGTGCACTACACTGTAGATTCCAGATTTGTATTACCATCCTGTTTAGTAAGGACAACTCCCAGGCTTTGCTCTTTTTGTGCCATATGCTCCTGCCATGTGTATGCTAAAAAGTGCTACCATTTGCTGCCAGACCTCCTCCAGCTTTCCACACAAGCCCAAGCTTCCCACCCAGATGATGCCATTTGACTTGACATACTTGTGAATTTTTACAAAGCTTTGTGGATGAAAAAGGAAACAATTTCATTTCCTGTCATACCAAGAAAGCTTATGTGCTTTTCACCAGTGGATCTATAGTGAATGGAAAGTTTGTTAAAGGTTTTGTTGTGGTTAAATCCAATTAACACCCAAGGATTTAACCAGACTCTGTCTGAGGGAAAGGGTCTTGTTTTAGATTCATATGGTCATAGTATACAGTCTAGTATAGCACGTAAAAGACTATCAGCAAATACTTATTGAACTTCTGGTTTATTTGTGTGTGTGTGTGTGTGTGTATGTACTGGGGCTTGAATTCAGGGCCTGGATGCTGTTTCTTAGCTTTTTCACTCTTGACTAGCACTCTACTATGAGCTACAGTTCTACTACTGGCTTTGTGGTGTTTCACTGGTGATAAGAATCTTACCACTTTCCTCCCTGGGCTGGGTTTGAACCAGAATCTTTGGATCTCAGCCTCCTGAGTAGCTGAGAATATAGGTGTGAGCCATCAGTAAGTACCAAGCTATTCATTCATTTTAATTATACCTGTGGGAGTCTCCTCTTCCCGTGTTGCAGGTTTGTGATTTGTGCCATTAGACCCCTATTAGAGCCAACCTCTAACACCTCTCCTAGCTTCTCCCAACCAAGGTTCCAACTCAGCTACCTAGGCTACAAAATCCTCTGTGTTTCCCAAATTTGATTTTCTTCAGCTATCAGGAGGAAATCACATAAATCTAAAGGGTCAAGTACAAGGGCAGTTGTAAAAGTCAGATATAATACATGGATATTAAAACACTAAATCTTATAAATGAAAAAATGTTGAAAAGAGATGTAGGAATATAAGAATTCCTATTAAAATTTTAGGACTTGAATTTCTGTTCTGCCTTTTATAACTATTACTTGGAGGAATTTTAAGAAACTTCTGTAATTCTTATCTATAGACTCAGGATATTAAACCCAACCATGTGGGACTTATTGTGAGAAGTAAATGAGATATACTGAGATAAATAAATAAATGAGATAATAAATAAACAAATAAATAAATGAGATAAAGTCCATAGAACAGTTCACAATGCCTGAGTAAGTTGTCATTTGATACTAGTCATATTCATAGCTCTCATTCTGAGATCTGATGACATAATTTGAACTCTTGATAAGTATAGATCTTATGTAGTTTCGTATTTCTTTTTGTTATAAATATGTAGAATGGCAGACTGCAAGATATCACTTAATATGTGATGAAGACTCATGTTATATTTTATCAAATTTATATATTATTCCATTTATATTCTTCCAGGATATCAGCTCCCGGGTTCATTTTTACGTCTATCTTTTATGTGAAAACTAAATTGGGTAAATATAACCATGAGCATTACCTGGAAGCTGTATTTCCATCTGTTTCATGTGCTATTGTGTCCACCGAAGAGGAGGAGGAGGAAGAGTTAGGAAACATTAAATAAATTAGACATGTTCTCTGGGTCAGGTCATTTTCATTAATTATCTCTACAACTTTATGAGGTAAATATTATTTTCCATTTTATAGATGGGGAAAATGATGCTCAAGTTGGATAGTGACCCTAGCTAAGACTGGATCTTGAGTGTCACTGAAAGACCCACGTGTTAAATTCTTGGTCCCAACTTGGTGCTGTTGAGAAGTGGTGGAACCTTTAGGGGGTGGTGCTTAGTGGGAGGTAGTTGTGTTATTGGAGGTGTAGCCTTGAAGGGGATTTGAGGACCCTAGTGTCCTTCTTATAACTCTTCCCCTGTGATGAAATGGGTGGTTTAGCTTCTGACATGACATTCTGCTTGCCACAGTCCCAAAGCAACAGGGACAACAAGTTGTGAACTAGGACCTGCACAACAAGGAACCAACTTTAGCAACTTTATAAGTTGACTATCTTGAGTATTTGTTATGGTAATGGAAAAGTTTAAGTTGGAGGGGGAAAAAGACTATAACCCAGCTGTAGTCTAACCATAGCCTATGCCTAACTTTATGAAGTATGAAATACTGGTAAAAGTTCATAACGAAGGTCACAAAATGTAAAAATAAATATCAAGGTTACTTCCTGATGGACCTTTTGCTAGTATCTAGGAGTTGAGGAGGGGGAGAAAGTTGAAAGAGTAGAAGTTATTTTGTAAGATGTATTTTCAAACATAAAGGCATATTTTAAGAAGATTGCATCTGAATAAATAATTATATTTTAATCTTTATATTGGTAACATTAGCTTCCTCTCAGTAATTATACTTGCTTAATTATCTGTGCTTTTAGAAAGCCTATGCTATAAACCTTTGGCCACAGATTTTTCTTTTCTTTTTCTTGTTTTAAGTCATAGGTCATTTAACAATACTTAGGTAAAAACATGAAAGCCAAACATTTTAAAATAAATTCTTCACTTCCCAGATTAAATTACTCCTTTGTTAACAGAGCACCAAAATGGATACCAGTCTTTACAATGTTCTATTTCTGAATGAGAAGAGAAGAGAGATTTGATGGGCAGGAAAGACAGTGGATAGTGAGGATGAAATGTAGCCTATATGTCAGATCCATTGAATCAGGCTATCTCTTACCTTATCTCATCATTTCCAAGTTGGGGTTTATTATTATTTAGCAAGGACTAAGAATCAGGAGGTCATATAGTGATTCAAACTCAGCCTGCCTGAGGGCATATCATACTTTCCTTAATCCAAGGAGATCACTAAGTGTTAAAAGATGTTTCTCATGTGGAATTTTGGTATTGAATTTAGTCAGGGATAAACCCCTTGTGATAAGATCTAAAACCTGAGATGTGGGGAAAACAATTAACACATGGCTTCTAAAAACTTGGTAAGATCATATGGAATGTTTACTACTAAATTGATTTCTAAGGAAGCATTCTCTTAATTCATATTTAAGTGAAAATAGAATTGTTTTAAACCACACATTAAAATATAACAAATAATTGGCTGGGTACTGGTAGCTTATACCTGTCTAGGCAGAAGTCTGGGATCTGAAGACTGAGGTTCAAAGCCAGCCTGGGCAGAAAAATCTCTGTGTCTCTTATCTCCAATTAGCCAACAAAAAAATGAACCAGAAGTAAAAGTATAGCTCAAGTGGTAGAGCACCAGCCTTGAGGGGTAAAAGCTAACGGACAGCGCCTAAGACTTGAATTCAAGTTTACTCTCCCTGCCACCCAAAACATGTGCAAGAAGAAGCTAGCCTAGTGCTGCCTTTAATCCTGACTACTCTTGAGGCTGAGATCTGAGGATCATGATTCAAAGCACTTCCAGGCAGGAAACTCCATGAGACTCTTATCTCCAATGAACTACCAAAAAGCCAGAAATGGCGCAGTGGATCAAGTGATAAAGCATTAGCCACAAATGCTCAAGGGTAGCAAGGAGGGGGAGGAGGAGAAGGAGAGAAAGAGGAGGCAGGTGGCCATGGCAGAGGCTGATGGTGATGGTGATGAAGTTTTTGGTTTATCTTGAAAATTACTGTCCCTTTCTTTGAAAGATAAGACAAAGTTTGTGCCCTAACATCTCTCAAAACTAAGTGGAGTAAAGAATGACAGAATTATTTCCCATGTACTGTGGTGTTGCTTCGTAAGTGAAGAACTCAGCTTGTTTTATTTATATAATATACTTAAAATAAATGACAGGCTAGTGACAAGCTGGCAAACAGAAATCAACACACCTAATTGTGTTTTGCTATTTCAATTGGACAGATTTTAAAATTCCATTTTGCATTTTCCAAAGCTTGAATAATTACAATGATTAATTTCTCAAAAAAAACCTTAAAAAGAAATGTTTATCTCTGTTTTACATGTTTTTAAAAAAGTACTTTTTAAAAATTGCTTCAAATCAGCAACTCTGAAAGGAATAAAATGAATTATCAGTAAAATAATCAACTTTACTATAAGGCTTATATGTATATCTACCTATTTATTGATGTTATATTTTATCTTAATATTTTTATTATCTTTAAGTAGTTGTACAATTCAACATGTCAATTTATGAGTACCAAGAATCTTGATCAACGTCACCCCTTCCATGGTTTCTCCATCTCTCCCAACCCCACCCATTTCCTCAAGTGGCTTGATTCCTTATATATTTTATTTAAAAACTTTGAACAAAGCACTAAAATAACCAATCCTACATTCTTGTCCAGTTTTCCTACTATAGTTAATATCTAGAACAGTCCTTTTACATAAGACAAACTCAGTGATTAGGTAATGAATAAGTGCATGAATAAGCAAAATAAATAAGCCAAAACATGTTACAACCCCATTTTCCTTATGAGTTTAACTGGTAAATGGAGGGAAACGTTATTATTTTTTGTCTTTCAGCTATACAAAGATGAAAACAGCAACTAACATCTACATATTTAACCTTGCATTGGCTGATGCGCTGGTTACTACCACCATGCCCTTCCAGAGCACTGTCTACCTGATGAATTCTTGGCCCTTTGGGGATGTTCTGTGCAAGATTATAATTTCCATTGACTACTACAACATGTTCACCAGTATATTCACCCTGACCATGATGAGTGTGGATCGTTACATTGCTGTGTGCCATCCTGTGAAGGCTTTGGACTTTCGTACACCCTTGAAGGCAAAGATCATCAATATCTGTATTTGGCTTCTGTCATCTTCTGTTGGCATATCTGCATTAGTCCTTGGTGGTACCAAAGTCAGGGAAGGTAAGAATGAGCATTTTCATCCTATCTAAAAATGCAGACTTGTAATTATGTGAGCTTTTTCTTTGAGAATGAGTAGTGTGTGTGTGTGTGTGTGTGTGTGTGTGTGTGTGTGTAATGCCATTAAAATTTAGAAATGTAATGCCTAAATCCAAGCAGTATGAGAAATACACCATTTTTTGACCCTTCACTTCTAAATGCAGAATGAGATAATCATATCAGAACACAGATGCCCAAGCTGTCTCTGATTCTGGAAGGGCTTTTTAGAATCTAGAGGGATTGTGAAACTGCAAAATGAAAATCCAATCTGTAGTGGCTTCTTATTTACTTGTCTCCCTTGCTAATTTTTTCCTACATAGAAGAGACTAGATTTTTCAGAACACATTTTGGGAAATCATAGCCTTTTCTATGTTGATATTTTAATTAAAAATTTGATGATCAAAACTGACTTCAAGAATAATCTTAAGGGCTGGGAAGGTAGCTCAGTGGTAGAGCACTTGCCTTGCATGCATGAGGCCCTGGGTTCGATTCCTCAGCACCACATAAGCAAAAAGCCGGAAGTGGCACTGTGGCTCAAGTGGTAGAGCGCTAGCCTTGAGCTGAAGAGCTGAGGGACAACGTCCAAGCCCAGAGTTCAGGACCCACAACCAGACCCCCCCCAAAAAAGAATAATCTTAATAGTATTTTGAAGGTAACAAGATAAAGGAAGAGAGATATGTGAATATTGTCTTCCCGTTGCCCTCCAATCAAACTGTGCTCAATAAGTTCCTCTTATTTATAACAACAGCAACAAAATCTTAGGTATGGGTATGAGGCTGCATTATGAAACCATAGGATACTGACATTCATGATCCTGGCAACTCTGGTACATACCTTTCCTTTTCTTTCTCTCTAAGGGTCTAAATCATTAACATGCTGGCTCTTTCTCCCTACTCCTTCAATGCTGGTCCTATCACTATTTTGACAGCTTCTTTGGCTGTAGGCCATTCAAACACAGGTTCACAGCTGTATGGAGGTTACAGATAAGAAAAAAAAATCCATTGCATTTTTGGACATGTCAGTTCTTTCCTCATGCTAATAGGATGTTTTACCTGTATTTTCTCGGTCTGGATTGCATTGGAATTTGCTTGGGTTCTTACTCATACACTGCTGCCTCCATTCTACCTCTGGAGGGTCTGGTTGAGTTGACCTAGATATCAAGATTAAGCTCTCCATGGGGATTGCCTTGTAGCCAAGATGAGCAGTACTGCTTCAAGAATTTTGCTTTATTAATAAAAGATGAGGCCATAGAATGTATTTTAGTCCTGAGAAAAACTCACTAAGGGAAAACAGAAGAACAATCACTTTTAATTTTATCGCTGCTATTGAATGATCAGGCAGGTAACTGGATGCTCAGGGAACTTTGTATACCTGTAAGTACTGATAGGTGAATGTGAATAGCAAGGACTTTCCAGGCCTTAGTTAAGGCTAGATACTGTTGAATGTGGTGAGTCAAGCCTGTCATCCTAGCTATTTCAGATGTGGAGATCAGGGGTCATCAAGGATCAAGACCAGCTTGCAAAACAAGATCATAATACTCAATGTCAGCCACTGCTACATGTTATGGCCCAATTGTGGGAAACACAATGGCTGGGTACAGTGCTGAGTGTCTGCCATTCGCAGTTACAAGCACAAGTAGGAGGATCACAGCCCAGACATAAAGCAAGATTCTACCTAGAAAGTAACAAATGCAAAAAGAGATTAGGGGCACAGCTCAAGTGAAAGTTCAATCTTCAATATTACAATAAATTAAAAATAAGTAAATACATAAAGGCTAAAACTATCATTAATTTGCATGATACAAGAATAGCTTATTTCTGTTTGTTTTTAGATAATTGTTTTAGAGCATCTTTATGTTCTGAATGGAAAAATATTGGGAATTCCCATTTATTACTCCATCTTTTCCCATGACACACATGGTCTCCCCTATTAGCAACAACCCCCCCCCCACACACATTTGTTACAACTGATGAACCTACTTTGACACAAGATTATCGTCTGAAGACCTTACCTTACATTAAGGGTTACTTTTTGTGACTACTTTTATGTTTCTGGACAAATGTACATAATGGCATTTGGTGGTTGTTTTTAAATGAAAGTCGATTGTTTCTTTTCTGAATCTCAGGTAAATATCTAGCATAGCAACAGCAAGTGATAAGCTGTTATACTTGACAATTTTTAAGAAATGCTCCAATTTATCACACAAGCATTTTAAAATACGATTAACTTCAAACTGGATTTTGCTTCTTCATGCCTATAAGAAATGGAAATAAATTTAGGACAGTTCTGAGGTTGGAGATTTGTTCATCCCATTTCAATTCAAGAGCCAAGTATCTGTATACTAGGCAGAGGAAGAGAAGCATGGGCTAAATAATGAAAAAAAATGGGTCCTTTCCAGGACAAAGAAGAACTGATTTTTATATTTCAAGTTACACTTGTACATTTAACCACTATACTTCTTCTACTCTTTGTCAGAAAATGATATCTTAAAAGGAACAGGTTTCAATTAGGCCTCTAAAAAAGAAAACAAAGATAGACTTTTTTTTCCAGGAAGACACTGATAGAGATAAATATCCACCACTATTGTAGAAGATAGATTTGTGTATCAAGGAAGAGAAAATGGTGAAAAATTAAAGTAAGCTTTAAAAAATTTTCTAAAGCACATTTTGTTTATATGGTGCAAGACATTCAGTTTAGCATTCAGTATAACATTCAGTTTGAAATGCTGTGCCTCACTGTGTGGTTAGACTCCTGGATGACCAGGAGCATTTTAGGTAATCTCTAATTCAGGGTTTGCTGGCATTGCTATTCAGAGGATTCATGTTAGCATGTAATTCAACAGAATGATCTTCATAAGCCCAAATTTATTGCTGTGTTTATCAACATCAGTGTTTACCAGTATTTAATACTGAGTATGATTATCCACAATATTTTTCTTTCATGGAAATAAAATATTGAATCATATTTTATATGTATAGGTATAGGTATTTGGGGATTGCATAGTCTATTACAATTGTTATAATAGCTTAGAAACCATTACAGTATCTATACTTACAAATAGAAACAGTTATTCCTTTTTTGTTATGAAAATAACATAAGGAGGGGTTACAATTACATGGGCAAGGTAATGAGTACATTTCTTATCAAGCATTGTTGCCTCCTCCTCTGTTTCCCCTTCCCATCCCTTCCTATCTTCCCCCTCACCTCTAGCCCGCTTCCTCCCCCTCCACATCCCCCCCAAAGGTGTAAAGTTTGTTTTTCTTTTTTTATATTTGTGATTTACATTTTTTATTGTGAAAATACTGTACAGAGGGGTTACAATTACATGGGTAAGATAATGAGTACATTTCTTATCAAGCATTGTAGCCTCCTCCTTTGTTTCCCCTTCCCATCCCCCACCCCCCCTTATCCAATCCCCCCCCCACCAAAGTTGTAAAGTTCATTTTCGACATAGCAGCTTGTACTTCTCATTGTTACAATGGGTCCACCTGTATCCCTATTTAAACAATTTTTTTCCTTCCCCTCCACAAATTATACCAACATCAAATACAGTGAAAACAGAGGTTATACCGTAGGGGAGGAGCATACAAAGGAACAAAGAAATCATCTTATAAATATGTTAGAAACAATTGCAAGAAAGAAAAAAAATTGAGTCCTTATCTTAGAGTTCATTTCACCTAACATCAACTTATCTAACCATTTCTGCTTTTCTCAGACATATACTAGTAATTGTAAATAAGGGAAACCATGGGACCTATGTTTCTTTGGGCCTGGATTACTTCACTTAATATATTTTTTTCCAAGTCTTTCCATTTCCTAACAAATAGGGCAATGTCATTCTTTCTGATGGAAGCATAGAATTCCATTGTGTATATATATACCACATTTTCTTGATCCATTCATCTACTGAGGGGCATCTGGGTAGGTTCCATATCTTAGCTATTGTAAATAATGCTGCAATAAACATAGCTTTGCTGGTAGCTTTAGTATGGTCTTGTTTATGATTATTTGGGTAAATGGCCAAAAGTAGGATTGCTGGGTCATAGGGGAGCTCTATGTGGAGTCTTTTGAGGAAACTCCATACTGCTTTCCAAAGTGGTTGAACAAGTTTACACTCCCACCAACAATGCAGTAAAGCACCCTTCTGTCCACACCCGCTTCAGCATCTATTGTTATAGAGTTCTTGATTTTAGCCATTCTAACTGGAGTGAGGTGGTATCTCAATGTTGTTTTGATTTGCATTTCTTTTATGGCTAGAGAGGTGGAGCATTTCTTCATGTGTCTATTGGCCATCCTTCTTTCCTCTTCAGAGAAGTTTCTCTTTAAATCCTTAGCCCATTTATTTATTGGGCAGTTGTTTCTTTGAGGATTTGTTGTTGAGGGATTTAATTTTTTGAGTTCCAGCTATATTTTTATATGAGACCCTTGTCTGTTGTATGGCTAGTGAAGATCTTCTCCCAATCCCTGGGCTTTCCATTGATCTTGCTAGATATGTCCTTTGTCATGCAGAAACTCTGCAATTTCATGCAATCCCATTTGCCTAACCTTTCTTTGATTTATTGTTTCTGGGTCTCTATTAAGAAAATTTCAGTCTGTGCCAAGGAGACCTAGGGTTTCTCCTATTCCATCCTGTAATGTTTTCAGAGTGTCTGCTTTGACCCTGAGGTCTTTGATCCATTTGGAGTTGATTCTGGTGCAGGGTGATATATGTGGATCTAGCTTTAGTGTTCTACAGGTGATTAACCAATTTTGCCAGCACCATTTACTGAAGAGGGTGTCTTTCTTCCATTCTATTTTTTTAGCTCCCTATAGGTCTATAGGTCTGTGGGTTCATTTCTGGGTTTTCAATTCTATTCCATTGGTCCTGAGGTCTGTTCTTGTGCCAGTACCAAACTTTTGATTACTATGGCTTTGTAGTAGAGTTTGAAATTTGGTATTGATATTCCTCCAGCACTGTTCTTTCTGTTAAGGATCGTTTTTGCTATTCGGGGTCTTTTATTGTTCCATATGAATTTTTGGATTGCCTCTTCTATTTCCTTGAAGAATGAGGTTGGAGTATTGGTAGATATCGCATTAAATTAGTAGATAGCCTTGGGAAGTATTGCCATTCTCATGATGTTGATCCTTCTAATCCAGGAGCATGACAGGTTTTTCTACTTTCTAAGTTCTGTTTTAATTTCCTTTTTCACGTTTTTAACGTTTTCATCATAGAGGTCCTTCACTTCTTAGGTTAAGTTAATTCCTAGGTAATTTATTTTTTGTAGGGCTATTATGAATGGAGTTGCTTTCCTGATTTCAGCCACACTTTTCTTATTGTTGGCATGCAGGGAAGCCATTGATTTTTGAAGATTAATTTTATACCCTGGTATATTGCTAAAGTTTTGAATCAGCTTGAGTAATTTGGGAGTGCAGTCTGTAGGATTCTTTAAATACAAGATCATGTCATCTACAAAGAGGGAGAGTTTTACTTCATCTTTTCTTATTTGGACCCCCTTCACATTTGCATCATGTCTTATTGCTGTAGCTAGGCATTCTAATACTAGATTGAAGAGAAGTGGAGAGAGTGGTCATCCTTGTCTCATTCCTGAGTTAAGAGGAAATGGCTTTAGTTTTTCAACATTAAGTATATGGTTTGTCATATATAGCCTTTATTGTATTGAGGAATGTTCCATGGATTCCTAATTTTTCCAGAACCTTCATCATAAAGAGGTGTTGGATCTTGTCAAATGCTTTTTCTGCATCTATTGAGATTGCCATGGGGTTCTTATCCTTGCTCTTGTTGATGTGATGAATTATATTAACTGATGTGCGTATATTGAACCAGCTTTGTATCCCTGAAATGAATCATGTTTGATCATGGTGCATGATTTTTTTTGGCTGAATTGTTGAAGTCAATTGGCCAAAATTTTGTTGAGAAGTTTTGTATCAATGTTCATCAAAGAAATGTGTCTATAGTTCTCTTTCTTTGATGAGTCCCTGCCTGGTTTTGGAATGAGGGTTATGATGGCTTCATAGAATGAGTTTGGTAGTGAGCTTTCTCTTTCAATTTCATTGAAGAGTTGGAGAAGTATTGGTGTGAGCTCTTCTTTGAAGACCTTGTAGAATTCTGCTGTACATCCATCTGGTCCTGGGTTTTTCTTAGATGGGAGGTCTCTTATTGCTGTTTCTATTTCAATGCTTGATATGGGGCTGTTAAGATGGTTTAACTTGTCTTGGTTTAGTTTTGGCATGTTGATATTTGCTAGGAAAAGGTCCATTTCTGCCAGGTTCTCACACTTATTAGCAAAAAGGTTTGAGAAGTGTTCTGAATCTTGGTTGTTTGTGTGGTGATGTTTCCATTCTCTTCTCTGAGTTTATTTGGGTGTGTTCTCTTCTTTTTCTGATAAGATTTGCTCAGAGTCTGTCAATTTTGTTAATTTTTTCGAAGAACCAAGTCTTTGTTTTATTGATTTCTTTCTATGGATTTTTGGACTCTAATTAGTTTAATTCTGATTTAATTTTAATGATTTCTTTCAGTCTACTGGATTGGGGTTCATCTTGCTGCTCTTTTTCAAGGTGGTTCAGATGTCTCATTAAATTGTTGGTTTCAGATCTTGCCAATTTGTTGATGTAGGAACTCAGAGGTATAAACTTGCCTCTGAGTGCTGCCTTATCTGTGTCCAAGAGGAGCTGGTAATTTATATGTTCATTTTTGTTGACTATCATGAACGTTTGAATATATAGCAGTTTCACTACCCTAAATAATTACTTGTTATTGTACTATTAAAAAATATGTGTCAGTGCTGTGGCTTGAACTCAGGACCTCAAGTTCTATCTTGTTTGATTGGCTCATGGATGGCACTATGCCACCTGCTCCCCACCTCCAGTCCCGCATTTTGCTGGTTAATTGAAAATGGACTCTGTAGGACTTCACTTCCGAGGCTGGCTTTGAACTGAGATCCTGCAGCTCTAATCCTCCTGAGTATCTAAAATTATAAGCATAAGGCACAAGGCATATTTTTCCAATAAAAATACTTTTATGATAAAATTACACTTATGATATTGGTAATGTCATGTTAATCTGTAAGGGATGAGCAGTGAAAACAAAGATATGTCTGACATGTGCTCACTACTGAGACAGGAAGAGAAAGTAGGGGCTGGCTAGTGCTTGGAAAGCCTGGGGGACCATGTTCATGGACCACCTGCCCATCATGAAAGTAGTTTAAGATATATTGATCTTGGGCCCATGCTCTTTTTAATACTAATGTCATTCCAAAGGAATATTGGTGAGGAGAAGCAGAGCCAATCAAGCAGTTTTCTTAGTAATCATACATTCATTTATCTGAGTTAAATAGTAATACTGGCAAAAATGAAGAAAGTGTCTGATTTATTTAGAATTATTATTCATGATGATTTATTTGTCATTTTACTCCTCTTATTTTCTCCTTCTCTTTTTATTCTCCTTCATGTTTCAGCAATTATAATGAATATGATCGTTCTATTCATTCACAATACCTTGATCATATTTAGATAGATTCTACTATTGATATTTAGAAGCACACATAAACAGGGAATATTTAGACAAGTTGGTATTTGTTAAATTCAATGGATTGATTTAAAATATTTAGCCATTTATTTCAAATGAATGTTAATTTCCATTCCAACAGAGTCTTTAATACACAGAAATAACAAATAAGTGTCCATTCTACAGTTGAGCAATTTTACTCTCAGGCAATCAATGTCAAATTAGCTTTCGTTGCTAGACAAATCATATTTGCTAACTAAGCACCATCAAAGATCTATAGCATTGTGCATGCTAACAATAGATAGTGGTTTTCTAGCTTCATTGTTTTATGTACAAAGATTGGATGGCTAACGCTGTAACCCATCCTGATTGGACCTTTGAAATTCTGACTATTCAAACTCTCTTTTATAACACTGTTACAATACTACTAATAATAGGTTTTGTTGGTTTTAATCACCTCCTTCAGATTTGGATATCATCGAATGCATCTTGCAGTTCCCTGACGATGACTATTACTGGTGGGACCTGTTCATGAAGATCTGTGTCTTCATATTTGCCTTTGTGATCCCTGTCCTCATTATTATCGTCTGCTATACCCTCATGATCCTGCGCCTGAAGAGCGTTCGACTCCTTTCAGGCTCTCGAGAGAAAGATCGAAACCTGCGCCGGATCACTAAGCTGGTACTGGTGGTAGTGGCAGTCTTTATCATCTGTTGGACCCCGATTCACATTTTTATCCTTGTGGAGGCTCTGGGCAGCACCTCTCACAGTACAGCTATTCTCTCCAGCTACTACTTCTGCATTGCCTTGGGATACACTAATAGCAGCCTGAATCCCATTCTCTATGCCTTTCTTGATGAAAACTTCAAGCGGTGTTTTAGGGACTTTTGTTTCCCCATTAAGATGAGGATGGAGCGACAGAGCACTAGCAGAGTCAGAAACACAGTTCAGGATCCTGCTTACACGAGAGATGTGGATGGGATGAATAAGCCAGTATGACTAGTCGTGGAGATGTCCTCTTATTGTTCTCTGGGAAAAGAAGAGTTCAACGATCTAGGTTTAACCCAGATTACTACTGCAGTTTGAGGCAGAAAGCTCTAGTTTTAACATAAACTTTTAGAAATCTCATGGTCTGAAGTCATAAGGTACAGGCTGCATTAACAATCCCGGCCAGTGGAAACATGTAGGCTGTAGAGGATGGAAGATGGAGGGCCACGCAACAAAAGGAACCCTTCTCCAGGGCAGGGAAGCTAGGCACACTCCCAGTCCCTTTGATGAGCAAAGGAATATGGCTTTTTCTTCTGGCTCTCTAGATTTAGTTCATCTCTATCTGCTGTGGCTTTCCTATGCAATATGATTTCAAAGCTCTGTTGACAAGAAAAGGAAAAGAAAACATTGGTTTGGAAACTTGGTGATATCCAGTCTAGTTTTGTTCAATACTGACAACAACCACCTCAACAAGGAGAACAACTTCTAGGACTCACACCCAGCTCCATTTTTGCTGGATGGATATGTATTTCATGTGCATGTGCAGAGAAAATTCCAGATGCACACATGCTGTATCTGATGTTCACCTACACTAGAACATCACCTTGACATTTATGAACATATTTCAGGTATGAAAAATGGCTTCTGACATAGTTGAATATCTTGAACACTACAGTTTCTAGGTTGGCTTTTTGTTTTCTAGGATGCTATTCAGGGAAATCATCTTATAAAGCATGGATTGATACCAAGAAGCAGAATGTGGCTTAAATACCACTGTAGGTGTACATAGGTTTATCTGTAAATAAAACCCTAGGTGTAAATAAAGAGTGAGCTTTCTTGCCAGCCAGCAATTTTCTCAAGGGCACATTAATGATATCCCTTGAGGCATTAAGAGTTCATGGTAACATTTCATTGCAACATAGCTATTCTCTGGGAGTTAGCCATGGATGGTGTGATTTCTTCCTGATTCCCTGAACACCATTTAATATTTTAACAATGTTCAGAACTCAGTGTTAATGAAACTGTAAACTCTGAACTCATTCCTAGGTTGTATTCTTGGCAGAATCATTTGTTTGTGGCATCTCTTTATGAATATAGAATTATTAACAGATTCTGTCTATTTTATAGGGAGTAAAATGTTTTGATTATATGCAACTTGGGTCATTAGTTTGTGGCTTTCAACAGGAGGGAAATTGTTCCTAAATGCATACTGGATGAGCATGTGATACTACTTCATGCCCAGACATAACCCATGCAGTTTTCTGCAAAGGGTGTTCCTGCTGAGGATAATCTCCTAAAGAGCACATTTAGGATAATTTTGTTAAAACTTCTAGATGACATATAAATCTCCTCTTCTTTCCCCTGAAACTCGTGGTTTCAGAGGTAATAGTTTTTTTTCAGTAATTTTCCTGGGAAGAAGAGAGGGATAATTTAGAAAAAATACCTATCTCTAAGCATACATCTTATTAAGCCATCGCCTTTTGGAGTTTAATAGTCCCTCTAATGTGTAGACCTATCTAACCATACACCCCACTATATCTACGAGTTCTGCTTACAAGGTGTTTTTTCTCTGATGAGTAGCCCCTCTTTCTGGGAACAAAGCCTTGTATTTAGGTTTTACATGTGGCTTCAGAATTTTACTCAAGTCTTGTTTGTCTCTGTTATAGGCATTCATAGTCTTTAACACAGATGGCATAAGGCAAGGATTTTTTCCAAAGGATCTTTTGAGTATTTCTTAAATTTTATTGAAATTCTTAGGAGCACTTGGATTTGTATAACTGAGTGTAAACACGAATGGCTTAAATAGTGGTTGACATTGTATGAATTACCTCTTGGCTATCATATAAGAGAGACGTCTATGTACAAATCCAGTTACAAAAATACAAAAATGTCTTTATGAAACAATGAAAACTAGGAGTTTTTTGGTAGATTCTTATATCAAATATGATAGAGAGAATACAATCAAGGGATGAAATTATTCGTGTTTTCTCTAAATTAGCATTCCACATACTCTTTAAAATTTCTTGCCATTACTAGAGTCTAGACCTTTATCTGTTCTCTATCTCTTCATGTGTACATTTGCAGTCCTAGGACAGAAGAATTAGTTTTAATACCCATGAGTGATCCTTCAATCTCCTAGGTCATTCTTAACACTGCTTTCCTCAAACTATTGGAGGAGAAAAGATTCTGATATAAATTTCGAGCACTGTTTTACAGAATGATAAGGTGAGTCATGTATGGCAGTAAAAAATATCACTTAAGGCTGGAAACTTTCTTGGCCAAGGATCAATTGGGTATTTATAATGATATAAGTAGACAATATAGACAGAAGGATTAAGGAAAGCTGAAGAGAAATATTAGCTATCTGTCCCTGCCATGTCCCAAATGTGCACAAGCGTGCACATGTGTCCTACTCCAAGGCATTGAGCATGTGACTGTTCTTTCATGCTTCCAGATAATGGATCTGCCCAAGACTCACCACCTGCAGGTATCTCCTCTCTCCTGGGGCTCCAGATTTCCCATCTCACAGTATTTCCTGTTCTGTTTGAGGCCTGAACTATAGGTGCCTCATCTTGAGATTGACTAAATGAAGGCTATCTCCCCACTTAATGAGGCGTCAGAGAATGTTCAAAGCAATGCAGGAGGTTATGAGAAGCAATGAGGACCGAACCCACAACTCTAACTAGGAGAATTAATATATTAAACTGACTGTGAAAATAGGGGGAACTATTAGGCCAGGAATTAGGCGTAAACTCTAGGCTTAATACACAAGTCTGAAAAGTCATTTGGAGTGGGGAGAATCAAGGACTTTTCAAATTTATCTTGAGAGAGTAGTTTCCTTTGGTGATATATTTTTAAGAAATAAAAGCTTGTATCTGATCATTTACAGTCTTTTCATTCAGTCCTGGGATATAAGATAAATAATAGAGAAAAATAGGAAGCTATTGACTGTTAAGTTGTATGTCCATTTAGTGAAATACATTTTCTAAACAAGAATTGCTTGGAGTATTCAGCATAAATGTGAAAATCTCATACAAGAAGAATGTAAGCCAACTTGCCCCAAAACAATTTTATACTGGGAAATATATGATGTGTATTATTTGCATCTTGTACTTTTAGAAAATGATAATTGTGTACATTGTATATAAAATTGTGTGCCTTGCAATAAAATGAAAATTGTACCTGCTACAAACTGAAATTGTGTTATTTGATAAGGCATTAATTCTTCAGTGACTTCAATGACAGTGTACATGAGAAATAACATTAACTCTTTCAAAATTCTAAGTATCACTTTAATTTTCTATCCTCATGGGGAAAAAAAGCAAATAGTCTTCTAATTTGATCATAAATCCCATACTAATGGATTCACAAGAAAGTTTGCCTATTTCTACAATCACATTCTCAAGATCATAGAACCAAAGTTAAATATTGCCTTTCCAATGAAAATCCACTTTTTCAATATGAAAAACATGCAAAATCCAGAATAAGTCTGTCTAACCAACAAAAACTTAAATAAATCAAACACCCTGTAATCACATCCAGTTTTCTGGCCTGCTGCGCATGGAATGCAACTGTCCCACTGCTATGGCCCCTTTCGAACTTCATAGCCTTCAGACACTAAGCAGAGTAATTTTAAAATTAATATGTGTGTATGTGTGTGCATACTATTTTATAACTTACAGAAATGCAATGCTGTATTTCATTTTTATTATTGAGTAGTTGTATAAAGAGGTTACAATTCTGTAAGTCTGGTTATGAGTACAATCTACCTTTTTCCCCCCCCTTTTTTGGTGTCAGTACCGTAGCTTGATTTCAGGGCCTGGTCTCTGTGCCTGAGCTTTTGTGCTCAAGGCTAGCACTTTACCACTTCTGGCTTTTTAGTGGTTAATTGGACATAAAGTCTCACAGACTTTCTTTCCCAGGCTGGCTTTGAACTATGATCCTCAGACCTCAACCTCCTAAGTAGGTAGGATAACAGGCATGAGCCACCACTACCCAGCATTTCTAAGCTTTTTTATTCATAACTGGTGTTCTATCTTTGAGCTTCACCTCCAGCTTGGCTTTTTGCTGGTTAATTGGTGATGGGAGTCTCACAAACTTTTGCTGCTTAAGCTGGCTTTGACTCAGAATCTTCAGGTCTCTGAGTCCTGAGTATCTAGAATTACAAGTGGTAACCACCGTGATTATTCAGCTAAAATTAATATCTTGACACTAGATTTCTATAAGCAAAAACAAAAAGCTAAGGAAATAAAAAAGGACTAATCTTGCTCACACTAGCAACAAATTTCTTATTCCTGTTTATCCTTAATTGATAACTCATTTTCATAGATTTAATAATGCTCTGAGTTCTGGGCTGGGAAGGTGGTTCAGTGGTAGAGTACTTGCCTTGAGCTGAAGAGCTGAGGGACAGCACCCAGGCCCAGAGTTCAGGCCCCATGACTGACAAAAAAAAAATAATAATGCTATGAGTTACCCCTTTCCTCATTTCAATGGATACTTTGTTTTATTTAATAAAATGGGGTCAAAAAATAAATGTCTAGGGCATAATGATATAAATGGCTTTTTATCTGAAACAAAATTCTTTCCTGGACAATATATATTGGGTCATATAAATGACTATATGTGGGAAGTGATCAGAAACCTATATTTTAAGGAAACTGATAACATGTTTGGAAAGAAAACTCAATATGTTATAAGTTTTAGGAATGATGATATCTTGTGTTCATAATTATTTTATACATACTCTTGCTGATGGTCTCTAGGTCTAGTGATAACAATTTCAAACAAATAAACACCATGATTGAATTTTTCCATAGCCAGTACTTGAGAGAATGGTATTCATACAAATACCAGGAACTATACTAGACTCTGGATAAGCAGATACCAACAAAAGTTACACTTTCAAATTAAGTAAATGTTGTAGGTTGTAAATGAGGCAGGTAACAGTAGAGTGTACCCACCTTTAAAAAGGTAAGCTATCTTCATCTATTTAGGTATATTTTTAATTACCTTTATTTATATATCATACTTAAAGTTACAAAAAAGTTTAAAGTAACAGTTACTCAAATATTTGGAGACAGTTAAATTAACAATTAATG